GGTAATATTTCGTCATTCATGATGTTTGCTTTGGCCTTTTGACCGTTGACCACAGCAGAGGCCTGAACCGGGGAGCCAGTGGTGCGGGGGTCTGGTGCTCTGACGTTGTTGCACTACTGTTCCATCTCTAAAGCAGTGCAATAGTAATGTCATAGCATCAGCCTCTTGTACGAGCCTTTTTGGATGCAGTGGATTTACTTCAACAACCTTCTAATGTAATACAGAGTTATGCAGGCACAGAGAACCAGCCGGGCCAGTTCTAAGAGAGGCTGAAAATCTGAAATTATGCTAAAGCTGGTTGTCGGTCTTGTCTCACATTGTCCGTAAGGCTGGTCCAGATCATAGACTGTGTATAGATGGACAATGCAAATCCGCTAGCTCAATGAAGCCCAATATGGAAGTGCTCATGGACAAAATTTTGCTCCACTCAATCTTTTTTTCACTTTCTATGAGCCTAGTGTTTTTATACATTTTAGCCTAGTGTTTTTGTAAATCCAGATATGAGCCATATAAGGATTGACCAATCAGTGGCCTTCATTAGCGGGGGACACTCCAGCGCACCTTAGGAACCATCTTGGCAACATGTCCGCCCTGTTAAGGTTGGGAGGCCTCATATCTCACTCTCATCTGTCATTTCAGGTCAGACCTTTGGATCCAAACAGACCTCAAAGACCAGGACCCCCGGGACTGGACCGGATCAGACCAGACCTGACCTGTCCTCTGGGTGGGACCCTATGGATGTTGCCTCTGCTCCTCACCAAACAGCAGTGCAATATTGCTTATAGGGTCTCTCCTGGAGGAACTCGCTGCAAAACCGGACCAGTACCTCTGTAAGTATTGGCAATAGAAGACAGTGCTTTCGACGGCTGTTTACAAATTTGTTTAATTTCTGTATTTATGTTTTTGACCATGAAGCAATTTTTTTAACACAAAGACGAACCATATAAATATAAAAGGCACTTTGCAAATTATGTTTAAAAAGTCCGTGATTCTGCTGCTATAGAGCTGGAGCCAGATGAGAGCGCTTCATTCATTCACATGTTTTATCTGTGCTTGTAAAATAAAATAAAGTATCTGTATCTTGTCTGTTGTGGCCCGAGCCTCTTTCCCTGTTGCACTCCTGTGGAGGCAGCAGTGAGCAGTGCAATGCTGAAAGGGCATCGGTCCAACACAACTACTACTGCAGTTTTCATTCATGTTGATAAAGATAGTAAAGAATAAAGTTTTACATTTGAAACATGATCAAATAAACTTTTCTTTCAACAAAAACACTGTCTGATTCTTGCTTTGGGGGTTTCATCTGATATGCTTTACTTGTGTCGTGTGCTCCTCATTCCTTCTGTAACTTGTGATGCAACACTGACATTTCCCCACTGTGGGATGAATAACCAGTGTGCTACTCGCCACAGTGATTTAAAATACCCCAAATTAGGGTCTGAAAGGGTTTAAATTACCCAGTCCTGGTCAATCATCAAACTACAGCTGGGAAAAAAAAATAGTATTTATCACCTGAGGATAGCACGAGGGTTAGAGAGGTTTCCATTGTTTTTCTTTGCTGAAGCTAAACTCGGCGGATGGAAAACATTGTCCGTATACATAATAAACTAACTACCAATAATGGTTCACAAATATTTCTGCTTCTGGTAGCACTTCTTCCCTGGCTGAGCTAATCCATACATATCAGATGTAGACTGACATGAATATCGCACTGGTGTCTTTGCGCGGCCACAGTAAGACACTGTTCAGGTTTACACTGCACCAAAGCCACAGAAGTCACAAGTGAGCAGCTTCTAAACATGTAGGTGTGATGAACAGGTCAAACTCGGACACAAAGCTGCAAACTGGATCCACAGACATGAACTAAAATGGAACAAGAAAATACTATGGAAAGATTCAAATGCAGTTTTAACATTTATAGAGACAGAACGAAACAATGTTGAAGAAACGATTGACAAAAATCTTTAGTCCTATTTGTTTTTGCCCCCTGAAAAGATTATATATATATATATAATCTGTGGGTGTTAAATTGTCACATTTTCCGAAGACTGAACCCAATATGGACCATAAACTAATTTTGACCCAGGCTCGAATTTAAAAATGTTTGTAAAGTTGTTAAAATAATTTGTGTCCAACCGCCCCAATTCTTGCACACACCAGACTCATTTTTTTGGTAATGTGGGTGAAGAGTCTTGCCTAAAGACACAACAGCTCCACTATGACACCTGGTGTTACATAGACCTCCCATCATAGTACTACTCAGGACCTACCCTGCTTAGTTTTTGAAATGTGAGATGAGGCGTTCAAGTACAGGGAATTGCATTTATTTCAGGAGAACATGTAACAGGCAAGGGAAATGTTCTGTGCTGCAGCGGCGCCTGGTGGCCACAACGTGAACTGCTGAGCGGATGTGGGAGCGGCTCTTGCAACTTTACGTTACTGTCTGCTTTAAACGAGCGGATTTATGTTACTTGAAAAAACTATGTATATATGAGAAGAGCTCTGGTGTATTATTGAATCTTAAATTTCCAGTCAAAATGAATACAAATCTGTCTGATATTTTCCGTGGATGCCAGTTACACACCAGTAAAGTGAGATGTTACAAAAAAAAATCATTCTGGTGACTCTGATTCTGCAGTGATTGAAATAACTGAACTGGTCAATGATTTTTTTTATTTTTTATTAATCCACAACTCCCTTTGAAAAAAAAAAACCCAACAGCCTCAGTCTCTTCATTCACACTGATGGCAGCAGGTCAGACTTGTTGGATTATATTCATAGATTATTCTTCATTGGTCAAACTGTAATCCAGCACAAAAACATTCAAGACAGACCTCTCAAAACACAGACAAAAGTTAGATGCCTTATTACATAACCTATTTTGTTTCATAAATAACAAAGAGTGGTATAAGTAAAATGTGAACCTTGTGTATCACTATTAGACCCTTTGAGATGAGAGAGGCAGAGTGAGGGTGGTGCTTTGTCTGAAAAAGCCGTGACAGGCCAAAAATACATGCATGTGAAAACTAGAGATAGAAGAAATTGTTCTGAGAGCGAGGAACTGTTGTGACCTGGATTTGATCACGTAGTTTAATTGTTTTAATCTGTTAAAATGTCCTCAATAGTCACAAATATCAACAGGTTTTTACATTAGTCCCCCTCAAGACCAAACACACTTCTCCATCTCTCTGGTCTTTTTAAATATATCTTTTAGTTCCATTCAATTCATTTTTGTACAGCCCTAAACCACCACAGCAGTCGTCGTGGAGGACTTTACAAAGGGGTGGGGCAATTCACCAACACCAGATCAAAGAATCAATTCATTCTTTATGTTTTTATGGACTTTTTTTGTCTCTCAGATACAGATGGATTGATCGTAGCTTGAAAGTTGGATACCCCAGCTTTAAAACAACTCTTATTAACATTAGCTTAGTGTGCGTGTGTTGAAGAGAAGAGAGAGGGAAGAGGACCGCAGACAAGACTGGATAAGTTTATGAAGCCAAGCAAAAAAAGAAGGGAATGGATCAGACTGAAGCAAAAAAAAAGCAAAAATCAGTTGTAGCATTGTAGTCTGTTTAAAGAATATATATATGTATAAACATGATAAAACATGATGAAACAGATTCTAAAATTGGCGCAGATTTGTTACCAGTGTCCGTATCGTTTTGTCAATATCATGCATTTGAATTTTAACTGCATGATTTTAAAACATTTCTAAAGCTTGCAGACACTAATATGAGGAAAAACAGAAACAATTAAATGGAAATAAATTACGTACAGGAAGTAATAAAAAAAAACTGGCCTTGTCCATTAGCAATTTGAATTTTAAAACACTCAAAATGCTATGCTAGTCAATGCCAGCCCTTTAATATTAGCCTATTGTTTTACATTTCCCATGTTTTGTGTATTTCTAAACCCTTTCTAGAGCTTTAAACTCAGGGACAGCCATATTGTGTTCCCTAAAAACATGAAATTATGTCAGTAGATTTGAGATTTGCTTGTGAGAGAGAAAGTATTAAATCTGGTCCCACACTGATGACCTCACAGGGTATTTTGACCCATAGAAAGCAGTTTCCTATATCATACAAACTAAACCTTACCCCAACCTCATTCCAATGACACAAATTTAAGGACAGAACTAGCACAGAAATTAGCTGTATGCTTCGATCTACAGGCAAATGTGTAGGGGTCGCGTCCCAAATCCATTCCCTTGTCTCCTCTCCTTGATACCAACACTTATAAACATTTATCAGCCTCACAATGTAGGAATCAAAGACAGAAGGAGGCGAGGAATAAGAACTTTTGGACTGGTAGAAGATGACGTTGGTCACAAGCCGGTGTTTTGTTTTTGTTTTTTTTACAGGATGGCAGGGGAAGTGCAGCCTCTAACTGGTTAAGGTTAAAGCTGGGGAACCAATCTTTTAATTTCTTTACCATAAATTATACATTACACAACTTACTGTCCTTATCTGATGTGAAAATGTATTATAACAAGAATTGTAAAGCGCTTTGTAAGAGTAAGTAAAATGTGCTACTTATTACGTAATAATTTATTACTCACTGTCTTTTGCATAGTTGTCAAAAATAGCACTGATTAGCAGAGAGAGAGCAGTCCTGTCTTTTTCCCGTCTGTAAAAGCTAAATTTGTGACAGAGGATATATGTATATTAAATCTGTTTTGAGAGCGAAGAACTAGTTAGATTTTATCACATAGTTAATTACTGTTGTGGTTAGAGACCCCAGCGTTAAGTTCAACCAATCATGAAAGAAAATGGCGGTCAGGAGCAGGACAATCAATTGATAAGTGACAGAGAAAATAGTATTCGATAATCTGGTCCCATACTGATGACATCACAGGGTATTTTGACCGCGTTTACACTGTCATCCTGTCATCCTTTGCCATCTGTCCGTGTGTCTGAAGTGCACAAGTTTATTTCATTTATCAAATATATACACAAATGTACATCAGGACTTGTTTGGGGTTGGCGAGGAGCGCAGGGACCTCACAGTTCGTCGTGTCGGAGTGGCTCCGTGCTGGGCTGAATGAACACTCCCTCCATGGTTTTCCAGAGGCTGTGCGCGCCGCCGTTGTTCATGCCGTGGACCTCGCGCTGCCCTCTGATTGGATGGCCGTACGTTTCCCCGGTGACGGCCAGGAAGACGTCGGTGCCCACGTGTTTGAGCCGCACGCTGTCGTCGCGCTCCCACACGTCGCTGTCGCACTGCACCGTCCACACGTCCAGGTCATCGCCCTCGCCGCGCTCGCCGAATGCACTCACCTCCTGCGGGCCACAATGCAGGAGAGGAAGGGTTAGAGTCATGGATCTATAATAATAACTGGATAGGGTATTACTAGCTTATAGCTGTACCACCCAAGCGCACGGGGGGCACCAAATTCACGTGGGCTACACAGAAAAAAGGTCCTATAGAACTCAATGTAAACTAAAACAGCTCGACCTCATCTGAAAACTTACAGCTTTCATAAAGGCCGGATTTTGTGGGGATTTTAGTGTTCCTTGCCATGGTTTTCTATAAATCCACACTTTTTCCTCCCGCTCTAGCTCCGCTCTGATCAGCAGCACCTGATTGGTCAGAACACTGCTCAGCCACACACGAGCATCATGGGAGCTTGTCCACTGCGCAGAACCGGAAAGAAGTGGACATTTCAACACGGTCAGCACTAGATCATATACGGAATCGGAAGCAAATATAACCATCTACCAAAACTTAACCAGCCACTCCCATAGAAAAAAACCCCAACCCACCCTTAATCCTAACCTCAACCATCTTACTCAGACACCTAAAACTTAACCAGTCATGAACCCACTATTTACAGTCTAAAACTAATTTCATGTTAAAGACTTTTCTTTTTTCCTGTGCATACAACTAAAGAATTTTATCTTTTTAACACACCTTGTTATTTATTGTTGTAACCTTTTGTGTTTTTAACTATTTTATTGTTTTTAATTACTTGTGTGATTCTTATGTTTTTAAATTACTTATGTGATTTTAATGCTTTTTAATTACATATGTGTTTTTAATTGTATTTTAATGGTGATGATTTGTGCATTGTGTGGTGTGGACTGTGAGGCGCTTTGTGTTGCCCTGTGCAGGAAAAGCGCCCTATAAATAAAGATTGATTGATTGATTGATTGAATTTGAAAGTAGAATCTTTAGAAGCTTCCATTTATGATCTAGTGCCGACCATTTCAACACAGTGGTCGCTAGGGTGTGGTTCCCCTTTCGCTGCCTCGCTATTTCGCAGATGTTTTTGCATGTTGACGGGTTTTACAGTCTTAAAACATAAATCTGCTACTTAAAAGATTACGCTTATTTTATGATTTAGAACGTTACCCGGCGATAAACAAGGGACCCCTGCATATGGCTATGTAATGGTATATGGATCGTTCTTAGCTAATACATGATGCTTTGACGCCGGTGCAGTTTTAACAGAGATCAGGGGCCGGATTCATGAAGCCGGCTTACACACAGCACTTTATGCAAAAAGCTAGCAGGGGCCAACCTGGTCAAGGGTCTGTCAAAATGAATGTTGATGGTAGTTAATGTTCCTCTTATTGCCACTTTGAAGCCGTGCACACTATTCCATTGAATCGAGAGTTCACCAGCCACTACTATCCATGAAGAAGGGCATGGCTTTTGAAAATCAGTTTAGTTTAATCTGTTTTGAAGGGGGACAGTTCAATTTGAATTGGGAAAGAGGTTATTTTTCTTCATTAGTCCCCAGCGGCCATTTCATTAAAAAGCAAAGAAAAAATAAACTATTATTGTAAAATTCTGTGATTCTGAATAGGCTCTGTTTAATCACTGCTGACTCAAGACTCCACAAGAAAACACTAAAAAACACCCGCAACCTTTCAAAGCTGAACGAGAGAGGCCCTGGGGCAGACTGACACAGGCGTGGCTGCCATAAACACGAGAAGAGACACAACTAAAGTCTTTGTTTAGAGTAAAAGAACTGAAAGTCGACACTGAAGCTTCCGTTTCTCCTTTTGTTTGTTCTGCTCTCGGGAACACAAGGACACCAGTGCTCTGTGTGAATGAGGACGAAAGTAGTTTATATTTTGGCTTTTAAATATAATATTTTTTATTTTTATTTTATTTACTGTAACACCAAGTGAAAGGGTAACAGTTGGGGAAAAAAAGTTACATTTTATCCCTCTACCTCCCGCGCACCCTCCCCCCATTCTCCGAGTTGTCCTGCCGCGGGTTTTACCCTAAACTACTGCCAGTATTTGTACCCATTTATAGTTACTTACTTTTTAGTATAGTTATGTACTTTTCATTTTAAGTTTTGTAAAAAAAATAAAAAGAAGAATAAAGTTTGGAATAACTAAAAATATAACTTAAGTAACTTTAAAAAATAAAATGAATAAACCCCCCCATAACAATAAAAAAAAACCACATATACACACACACACACACATACACACATATACATATATAATAATTATAATATTCTGTTTTTCTCTTTTAAATATAATCTTGAGAATATTTACTTTGGGATTTTATGTTTAGTCAGAATGGGAAATATTTAGGCTTGATTTAAACCGAACAAGGCAGAGGGTAATCAAAGAGAACATAGTTTGACAGGAGATATTCCCAGAACTAATTTAGAGGCAACACTTTACGTTTTTAGACAGCGACAAACAATGAGGCTTTGTCATCGTCTTTGGAGAGATGTAGAGAAACTTGTTTGTGTTGTTTTTTACGTTCATTTCCCCCTGGGCTATTTCAGCAGCCTTTTAAAACATGCACTTCTACTTTCAACTCTTTGATCCACGTCAACTAAAACTGTAGTCGGGGGAAACAGCACAAACGTATTGTAAAATATTTCTAGAAATAATTTGACTATTCAACTTGATAATGAGACAATTTACATATTACTATTTAAAGCTGTTATGTTTTAGAATGTGTAATAATATCTTGAGTGTGTGGTATGTGGTGAAACAAGTTTGAAGGGTAAAAAAAAACCATTTTGCCTGTAAATCTAGAGTTACGACTGTAACTACGGTTCTATGAATCCTGGATGACCGCCAGAGGCGGTGCTTAAGCACTGGATGATCATCCTCGCGCATGCACAGATCGAGAGTCAAATAACAACAAAGTCACCCGTGACCTCCGGTAGCTCACGCGAGAGTCTATAAAGCCACGTGACACCGGAAGCACAGTCCCTAGAACCTTTCTTGCACAAGGATTCCGAGGGACCGGGCGCTCTGGCGGTCATCCAGGATTCATAGAACCGTAGTTACAGTCGTAACTCTCGTTCTATTTCATCCTTCCTGACCGCCAGAGGCGGTGCTTAAGCACTGGATGACGAATATCAGCAAGGTCACGAGGAAACCAACCAGAACCTCACCTTACTGTGAAACAGATGAGCGTTGCCGCAGAACCCCCTGCAGGGGGTGCGGGGCGGCAACATTAACCCGATAAAACCTGGCGAAGGTGCTTGGGGACGACCATGACGCCGCCGCACAGATGACGTCCAACGACACACCACTCACAGCAGCCCACGAAGTTGACATGCCCCTCGTAGAATGGCACCTCACCCCAGGCGGTAACGGCAGCCCCCGCAAGGCATAGGCCTCTGTCACAACCCCCACGACCCAGTGGGAGAGACGCTGCTTGGACAGAGCCCGACCAACGCGAGGGCCGGCGCAGCAGACAAACAGGGCGTCTGAACGCCTTATCGAGGCCGTGGAGCGAATGTACACCTCCAGTGCACGAACAGGGCACAGAGGGTCAGGGGGCTCACCAGAACCAAAACGGGCCAATTGAAGGGGCCCGTCATACCGACCAGAAGACACCTTCGGGACAAAGGACACATCCGGCCACAGAGACACACCCGAGCCGTCAGGATGCCAACGACAACAGGCCCCGGTCACCGACAGAGCATGGAGTTCACTCACCCGCCGTCCGGAGGCCATAGCCAGGAGAAACGCTGTCTTCATAGACAGCCACTTGAGGGCAATCTCCCCCAAAGGCTCAAATGGCGGGGAACGCAGGGCATCAAGGACAACCGAGAGGTCCCAAGCCGGCACCACAGGACGACAGGGCGGGTGCAACCGGCGGGCACCTTTCAAAAACAGTGAAACGTCAGTAACACGACCGACACTAGTCCCACCAAACCCAGCGTGCCCACACGAAATCGCAGCAACGTATACCTTCAGGGTGGATGGAGAACGGCCTTTACTGAGCAGTTCTTGAAGGAAGGTCAGTATTGACGTCACCGAGCAGAGACGCGGGTCGAGTCCTCTGCCACGACACCACCCGTCGAACACGTTCCACTTACAGGAATACAGCCGGCGTGTGGACAGAGCCCGGGCATTGCACATGGTGCGTCCAATCTCCCCAGCATAGGCTGTAAACGCTAAACCGGTCCCCGGAGGTGCCACACCCAAAGCCGCAGGCGGCCGGGGTCCGGATGGAGAAGCCGGCCCCCCAGTTGAGACAGGAGATCCCGCCTGGAGGGAAGGGGCCTCGCCAAGCCGCAGCAGAGCCTGAGCAGCAAGGGAAACCATGTCCTCCCCGGCCAATACGGGGCCACCAGTATCATCCTGTGGCCCTCCTGAAGGACCCGGAGCAGCGTCTGATGGATCAGAGGGAACGGCGGGAACGCGTACAGCAGAATCCTGGGCCAGTCGTGAGCCAGCGCGTCTTGACCCAGGGGACCGGTGAACTCCAACAGGGAGAACCACAGCGGGCAATGAGTCGTTCCCTGAGAGGCAAAGAGATCCACCCTCGCCCGGCCGAACAACCCCCAAATGGAGACCACTACCTCCGGGTGTAGCCGCCACTCGCCCGGCAGCGAAACGTGGCGCGACAGGAAATCCGCCGACACATTCAGAGTCCCTGGGATGTGCATCGCGGTCAAACCCGCAAGACGGGGATAGGCCCAAGTCAACAGCCCTCGTGCCACTGCCAGCAAGCACTCCGACCGAGTTCCCCCCTGGTGGTTGATGTAATAGACCACACTGGTGTTGTCCGACCGCACCAACACATGCCGCCCCCACAGGACCGGCAGGAAATGGCGCAGCGCAAGCTGAACGGCCAGGAGCTCCAGGACGTTGATATGGAGCCCCCTCTGCCGCACCGGCCAGACGCCCTGAACCGCACGCCCCTGCCACGTTGCGCCCCACCCTGTCAGGGACGCGTCCGTATGTACCACCTCCCGGCGGGACGGCAGGGGACCCAGCGCGACGCCCGTCAGCACAAACGCCTCGTCGCGCCACCGGGACAGTGACTCCATACACCGAGGAGACAC